GTGTCCCCCAGGGATCCATCCCCAACACACACACACACACACACACACACGCACACACACGCACACACGCACACGCACACACACACGCACACACACGCACACACACACGCACACGCACACACACACACACACACACACACACGCACACGCATGCCTATGGCCATACCACCCTGAACATGCCCAGTCTCGTCTGATCTCGGAAGCTAAGCAGGGTCAGACCTGGTTAGTACTTGGATGGAAGAACACACACACATACGCATACATAAGTCTAAATCCAAGTTCTACATGTGAAAGAAAACATGCAATATTTGTCTTTCTGAGCCTGACTTATTTCACTTAACAATGACTTCTAGTTGCATCCATTTTCTTCCTGTGTCATGAATTCATTTTTCTCTATGGTTACAGAAAATTCCATTGTAACACATTTTAATTATCCATTCATCTGTTGATAGCTTTTCGGCTGTTTCCATTTCTTGACTATTGTGAATAGTGCAGCTATAAGCACAGGTGAGCAACTATCTCTGTGGTGTGTTGACTTAGATCCTTTGAGTACATCCTGGAGTAGTATAGCTGCATCATATGTTAGATCTATCCTTGAGTTCTTCAGGAAATGCTCATTTCCACAGTGGATACACAAAGTCACATTCCTCCCAGCGTTTGTTGCCATTTGTTTTGTTTTTTTTATGATAACCACCCTGACTGGAAAGAGATGGACTCTCAACGCAGTTTTAAATGACCCTTATGGCTAAGAATAATGAATACCTTTTCAAGTACTTATTGTTTCTTCTTTTAAGAATTGTCTATTAGTTCATCAGTCCATTTGTTGATTTGATTATTTGGTTTGATGGTGTTTACTTTTGGTAGCTCTTTATATATCCTGGATATTAATCCCCTGCCTGTAATTGGCAAAGTTTTTCTCTCATTCTATAGGTTGTCTCTTCACTGTGGTAATTGTTTTTCTTTGCTCTGCTTTTGAATTTCATGAAATCCCATCTGTCAATTATTGAGATTATTTCCTGTGCCATCAGAGTCCTTTTCAGAAAGTCCTTACCTATTCCTATAACCTTGAAGTGTTTTACCTATGTTTTCCTTAGAAGGTTCAAAGTTTCAGGTCTTACATTAAGATCTTTGTTCCATTTTGAACTGATTTTTGTGCAGGGTAAGAAATATGGATCTACAGTGGTTGGGGATAAGGGAGCAAGGAAAAGAAAGGGGAGGTGAGTGGGCAGAGCCAGAGGGATTTTAGCACAACGAATCCTGTGAAATATTAAATGGTGGATGAATGTTGTTACCTACTAATCCAGGTTCACAGAATGTGAGACACTGAGTGTACCCTGATGTCAACTGTGGTCTTTGGGTGATAATGAGGTGCTGATGTAGCTTTATCTATTTCAACAGATACATTATTTTGGTAAAGTATGCTTATGACATGTGCAGACAACTGGTATATGAGAAACCTTTGTACCTTCCTCTCAGTTTTACCATGAACCAAAAGCCGCTCTTCGAGATCAATTCTTTCAAAAATCAGTGGTTTCCTACTTGTGATCTTCATAAACTGAACTTATGAATTTAAAACATGGATTTAATTTCATTCTCTACATGTAGAAATCAGTTTTCCAAGACTCATTTGTTTAAAGACTTTTTCTGTAATGTATGCTTTTGGCAGCTTTGTCAAAACTTAGGTGGTGTTAACTGTGAAGCTTCATTTATGGGTCCTCTGTTCTAGTCCACTGGCCCACACATCTGTTTCTGTGCTAGTATCTAGCATGCTGTTTTGTTACTATGGCTCTACAGTATAATTTGAGGTCAGGTATTTTGATGCCTCCAGCATAGTTGTGCTTAGGATTTTTTTTAGCTATCTAGGAACTTAGACTTCTGTATGAATTTGGGGATAATTTTCCTATTTCTATAAAGAAAGTCATTGAAATTTTAATGAAAATTGCATTGGATCTGTACATAGCTTTTGCTACCATAGCCAATTTCTACCAATCCATGAGTGTGGGAGGCCCTTCCATCTTCTAGTGTCATCTTCTATTTCTTTCTTCAATGTCTTAGAGTTCTATTGTTTTCATTTTTGTATCTGAGGGTTTTTGTTCGCTTTGTTTTATTTTGTTTCTTTAAGCTACTGTGAATCTGACATTTTCCTTTATTGCTTCCTTGGCAAATTTGTTATTGATATTTTTAAAAAGCTACTGATTTTGTATACTACTACTTTTCTGAAAATGTTTATCAGGTCCTAGAGTTTTCTGGTGGTGTCATCAGGGTCTTTTTAAATATGGGATCGTGTCATTACCTAACTTCTTGCTTTTCTATTTATATACCATTTCCCCCCTTTCTCTTGTCATTGCCTGTGCTAACACTTTAAGCACTATATTGAGCAAGAATGGAAAAGGCTGACATTCTTGTCTCTTCCCAGATTTCAGAGAAAATGCTTTCAGTTTTCCCCATTCACTGTCCTGTTGACTTTAGTTTGCCACATATAACCTTTATTAGTTGAGATATGTTCCCTCCATTCCTAGTTTCTTTAGCACTCTTATTATGAAAAGATGTGTAACTTTTCAAAGACCTTTAGTGTGGAGATGATCATGCAGTTTCTGTTCTTAAGTCTATTTATGTGTGTTGAAATTGATGTATGAATACAAGGTTGAACCAACCTTGAATTCCTAGAATGAAATCAACCTTGTCATAGTGTATGATCTTAATGTGTTCTTGAATTAAATTTGCAAGTTTTATTGAGAATTGTTTGCATCTCTGTTTATTAGGGAAATTGGTGTATAGTTTTCTTCATAAAAAGAGTTTGGCGAGTAGTGGGGAATGGCTGGGGGTGCCGACAACACAGCAGACAATAGCAGGGATATTAGAGTATAAGGGCTCTAGTGGGGGGAGGGGGGCTATTGGCATAATTCCTTCCCTTTCAATTTTATGGAATGGTTTGAGGAGCATTGGTATTAGCTCTTCTTTAAACATTAGGTGGAATTCAGCAGTGACTCCATCTGATCCCAGACTATGTTTCATAGAGTATGTAGTAATTGCCCATTTATCCCCTTTAATTTTGTCAATTTGTTCCTTTTCTCTCTATTTGTTATTTGGCTAGGAGTTTGTCAGTCTTATTTAGTTTCATCAAACAAATCTCTTAGTCTGATCAGATGAATTCTATGTTCTTTTATTCTCCATTTCATTGATTTCTTTCCTTATTTTACTCTTTCTTACTATCTACTGCTTTGGAGTTTGGCTTTTCTTTTTTTTCTAGAACCTTGCAGTATATTGTTGTTTCTTTATTTGCAATCCTCTGATTTTTTTCAATGTAAGCACTCACAGCTATAAACTTTCCTCTATGCTGTATTCCAAATGCTCTGGTACATTGTATTTTAATTTTCCTCTGAGTCTAGGAATGTTTAGATTTTCTCCCTGATTTCTTCAGTAATGCACTGGTCATTCAAAGGCATATTTTTATTCTCCATGTATATGTAGTTTCTGCAGTTTTTCTGGCTCTTGATTTCTACATTTGTTGCACTAGGATTCAAAAAGATACAAGAGGTTTCATTTTTTTGTATTTGTTAAGACTTGATTTGTGGCCTACAACGTGATCTATTTTAGAGAAGGTTCCATAAGCTGCTGAGAAGGATGAATATTTTATTTCGATTGGATGGAATATTTTATAAGTATCTGTTAAGTCCATTTGATCTACGGTGTTGTTTAACTCTTGTATTTGCCAATATTTACTTTGGATGACCTATCTAGAGATGAAAGTTATTTTTTGAAATCACCCACTATTATTGTATCAGGATCTATCTGACCTTTTGTGTCCATTAGTGTTTGTTTTATAAAATTAATATATATGCACTTATAGTTGTTATACCTTCTTGGAGAATTGTTCCCTTTATAAATATGCAGTGACTTTCTTTATCCCTTATGACTAATTTTGGTTTGAAACCTACCTTATGTGATATCAGATGAGCTGCACTGGCTTATTTTCCATTTTTGTGCACTTGATAAAATGCTTTCTATCCTTTGATTCTCACTCTGTGGGTGTCTTTCCAGTAAAGTGAGGTAGTTGAATCTAGTTTTTAATCCAATCAGTCACCATTTCTCTTTACTGGTGAGTTGAGGTCATTTACATTTCAGTTTCTTTTTTAGAGATAATTACTAATTCCTGTCATTTTGTTGGTTATTATTCTGGTTGATTGGACTTTTTTCTTTATTTCCTATTAGTATCAGGGGTTTGCCAGTTTGTTATGTTGGATATAATGGATCTTACTAGCTCTCCTCTGTCTAGTCATTCTTCTCATGAAATTTATTCTTTCCTGTGCTTTTGTGAGTGAGACTGTCTTTCTTCTTCCTCTTTGCACAGTGTCCCAGTTAGTATCATCCGCAGTGCTGGTTTGGATGTTATCACTGCCTCAGTTTGTGCCTATCCCGAAATGTCCTTAGCTCTTCATCCATTTTAAAGGATAGCTTTGTTGGATTTAGCATTCTTAGTTGTCAGTTATTTACTTCAGGGTTTGAGTACATGTTATGGCAAAACACCTTCATGTAACTTTAGAAAGTGAGACTCAATGCCCAAGATTCTTACAAATGTCTTATGAGCTAGGACCACCCACAGCATTGGGAATGGCACCTTGTAAAAGCCAGGAATGTTCAAAGGACTCAGAGGTTGGAAGTTCTAGTGATCCTGTCACCAAAGAAATGATGTAGGAATCAGAGATTAACTCAGGGGTACAGTGCTTGCTCCATAACTACCAGGCCCTTCGTTCTGTCCCTAGCAATGAAATAAAGCAAAAACAAAAGAAATGACTGGTGAACATTGTTTCCTCAGCGGCATGTGTGGTCCGAGATGCCACCGGAAACATGAATGACACCATCATTTCTGGAATGAACTGCAATGGGTCCGCAGCCTGTGCATTGGGCTATGACTTCTCAAGATGTCAACATGAGCCCTGTCAGTATGGGCTGATGAACAATTTTCAGGTATGAATTACCAGAAAAATAAGAAAAGGAAGGAGAAGAAAAGAAGATGGGAAGTTTATTGATCTTGTTTGCATTTTGAGAATATCAAGTACAGTAAGGCTTCTGGGTCTGCAATTAATTACCTATTGATTGATATGAATTGAGCAAGGAAAAGTTTGGAAGGCAGAGAAAGAAATCCTATGGTATTGTGTGGTTGTGTGGTACCAGTTCCTGTGGCTTACAGGTACAGTGGTGGCAGACAATAGGCAAGGGTGTGAATTGTGTCGCTAAGGAGAAAGCACTGTGGCATTCTGTGTCTTCTAGTCAATTGTGCAAGATGTCCTGACGGAATGGGGAAACTCAGGCTAGTTAACACTCAGAATGCATTCTGTGTATGGGTTTTGCATTAGGAAAACCTAACATGGCCCAGAGGGCCAAAGGCCGAGGGCAAGGAGAAATTGTGACTGAGAAATCAGGAAGAAAATGAGGACAAATCAACAGGAAAAGATGGGAAAGTACTTAACTTGAGACATTCGTTGTCCTGCATGATCAATGAGGAGAGGAATAAATAAATGTGTTGAGAAGTTTAACAGCCAATGCAGAGAAATTACTTAGCTGAAATCATTATTTCAAAATATGACTTAAACTGATAAACCCTCATCATGTCTCAGATCTAAATTATGTTTAATGAGCACAGGGAAAGCATTTGGAAAGTCTCTGTATGCAGAAGAGAAGCTAATGCCTTTAAAGAGACTAAGAGCAGTTCAGCCCCTCCCACACCTTATTCAAACCACACTCTGCTGGAGAAAACTTCCTGTCACCAAGAAACAAAGGACCGTGAAGAACATTTCCTTCTTTATTTTTTCCAGTATTTTCTAAATATATTATGGAAATATCTACTGTTTTATAAAGAATAAAAAGAGGTTATTTCATTTTGAAAAAAATAAGTATTAAGAATTCCAAATGGGGGCTGGAGAGATAGATGACAGTGATTAAGAGCACTAACTGCTCTTGCAGCGGACCTGGGTTTGGTTCCCAGCACCCACACAGTGGCTAACAATGACCTGTAACTCCAGTTCCAGGAGATCTGGCACCCTTTTCTGGCCTCCATGGTGCACACATGGTATACTTATATATACAGGCAAAACACTAATACACATAAAATAAAAATAAATAAATCAAAAAATTGTTTTAAATGTTTCAAATATGAAACAGGGAAAAATGTTGGTGGAAACAGTTTATAAAAGATTACAAATCACAGACGGTGAAGGAAGAAGTCATTGCATTAAAATGTGAGTTTTAAAACTGTCTGTTGCATGAGTCTCCTTGTCTGAATCTCTCTTCTCAAGGTCATGAGCATGGTGTCAGGGTTTGGCCCCCTCATCACTGCAGGAATCTTTTCTGCAACGCTGTCCTCAGCGCTGGCCTCCCTCGTCAGTGCTCCCAAAGTATTCCAGGTAATGCAGCCACGAGGGCTTGCTTTTCTCCCACTTGCTGTTCCCACTGCATGAGGATCAGGCTGAAATATTCATTCTCACCAGCAATCATTTTCCATCATTTTCTGAAACAGTTAACACTTGCATCTGGCTCAAGTGCTGTTTCTGCCACATAGTCAAGATCAATTCAAATAGTATAAAGAATGATGAACCACACTGTTAACTTCGCCTTGTATTGTGCATCACTTAATCTTCCCCCAAATCTTCTTGTTTGAATCACCTGGAGAAAATGACTGTGCACAGATATAAATGACAAATGTCTCCTCTTCTTTTTCATTAGGCTTTGTGCAAGGACAACATCTTCAAAGGACTACAGTTCTTCGCAAAGGGATATGGGAAAAACAACGAGCCCCTAAGAGGATACTTTCTCACTTTCCTGATAGCCATGGCATTTATTCTCATTGGTTTGTAACTTTCTTGTACTTATTGGAAGCCAAAGAATTCTGATTACTCAGACTTCTCCTTTCAGTTTGAGGAATTAGCTGGTTCATGCTTAAGACCCCCGTTCGGGAATGCTGGAGTCTGTCTAAGAAGGAAGTGAGAGGTCCTTGTGAAGAGGGCCTTCGAGAAGCTGGGGAGGGGGGCCGTGCCTGGACTTGCATCTGTTCTTTGAATCTGAATCTTGAAAACCTATCTAGCCAATACAACTGAGCCCTTCCTCCAGCTCTATAGGCTCTAACAACAGAGATTACCCCTGGTGTCACCTGACAGCTCTGAGTTAGCAGAACTGAAGTGTCTACACAGTGACCATCTACTCAGAATCACCAGGGTGTCTGTGAAAGTGCAGATTCTCCAGGCTCAACTCCAAAATTACCGAGTCAGAATCTCTGAGAATATGGAATCTACATTTTATAAACGCCTCAAATCACTGCTAAACATTAATATTTGAGAACTGCTTACCCAGACTACAATCTTAGTTTTCTTTCCCAAGGAATGTAGAAGTAGCTTTGTGGTCTTGGAAGGGCAGGCTCAACATCTGCAGCCTGCACACTTCTTGCTCTTCCCTAAGGCCAAAAATAAGGGCTATTCAATTCTCTATGTTAAATCAGGAGGTGACTATAATTCATACATCCTTATAAACGTTCTATAAAGTTGAAGAGGGAAACATAGTTAACTCACTAAATTTGTTAGCACATTAGGAAATTAAATAAAAATGATTACATATAAAGATGTTCTAGTAATGTAATGTAACCTTTAAGACATCCAGTTATTGCTCTGTTTTATTACATTTTATTTATTTATTTATTTATTTGTTTATTTATTTATTTATTTGTGTGTGTCTGTGTGTTCATTTGTATAGAGGTCAGACAACAACTTGTGAGAGTTGGTCCTCTCCTTGAATGTCATTCCCAGGGATTGAGCTCAGGTAGTCAGGCTTAGCAGCAAGTACCTTTAACTGCTGAGCCATCTTGGTGCTCCCCCACACGCTGCATTTAAATTATCACACAACCAACATTTTTAAATGCATAAATTAAATTATAGTCTTTACATTTATTCAGATGGATGTGGCATTATGGTAGCACTGTTCACCTATTTTCTTAATAGTCTTTGTGCTCTACAAATGATGCCTTGTTGCTGCCTGTATTTGCATCATTAAAGTTGATAGAAATCTCAATTTCAAATTGATGAGAATATATTTTCTTCTTATACTACACAATAAACAACCACACTGAGATTAAATCGTACTGAATATGAGCCACTAATGCCAAAGTGCTCTTGATAAGCCTGAGAGGTAGAAGAACTCTTTGGAGACACACAAAAGAGTAGAAAGAGCCACGAGAGTTCTTACTAAAGTCAGAGAGAGCATACAGGGTATACACTGATTTCCAGTGGGGAAGTTTTTGGTATTCTGAGATTTGACTAATCTGTCGTCCTACAGAGAGAGCATACAGGGTATACACTGATTTCCAGTGGGGAAGTTTTTGGTATTCTGAGATTTGACTAATCTGTCGTCCTACAGAGCCTCCTGGCTGCATACACAGCGAAGAACACAGGTTCAGTGCATCCAAAATATCTACAGAAGAATCTGTCATATGCTAAGTCCCACACAGTCCTACCCACACCAGTATGAGTTTTTGTAGATAGATACCCTTCATTTTCTGATCGGCAGGTTTTCTTAGCTGAAAGTGTATTTGTAGTCCAAAGAAAAAATAAGTTCTTAAACTTTGACAGACATTAACAATGTTTTCAGTTTCCAAATAAAGTCAAGCTTCCCCCTGCAGCAGCTGCTGAGCCCCCAGCTCTGCTCAGACACACAGGTTTGATTCTGCTTCTCTTGCAGCGGAACTGAACGTCATTGCTCCCATCATCTCCAACTTTTTCCTGGCCTCATATGCGCTTATTAATTTCTCCTGCTTCCACGCCTCTTATGCCAAATCTCCAGGTAAGCTGACATTTCAAAGCGAAAAGAAGCCTAAGCACACAGTTAGTTTGTCTCAACAGAATGAAAGAAGTCAGTGAAAAGTGTTCAATCTGTGTTTATATGTTTTCTTATATCCTAGTGGGCAGCATAATCCACTGTATTTTGGTGAGTTGGGGGATGACTTCCGAAATAGAAAAAGAATCATTTGAGCAATGGCCTTTTTGACCAACCGTAAAGTCAATTTTCTCCTGTGGCAATAAATTATTCATTGCAAGAGAAACCACATTTATTTCAGCAGTAGAAAAACACCACTATTTATTTCCAGGCTGAAAGTGACCACAGAAGTGGAATAAATGTATATATTTGAGACTTCCTTACTATCAATTTGTTTCCTGCCCATGGTGCAGAAGAGAAGGATGAACAGTTCCCATAATTACCTGCTGAGTGCCTGCGATGCAGATCTACTGCTGAGATCCTGCCAGGGGCATCAGTGTACATTTGGGGCTGTGGTTTTAAATAGTTCAAAATTCCATACCCAAGAGCCTTCCTCTACCAAGTCACCCCATCTGCTTTTTGCTTCCATTGTCCAATAAAACTTCTTCTGTCTTTCCTCCAGAAAATCCTCTAGAGGTCATCATGACCCTGAGAGTTCTTCACCATGAGAACTTTTATCAAAGATACTAAATGCTCTTTTACAGCTTGCTGCCATCCTAGCCTCCTTTGGAAAACCTGCTGCCAAAAAAGTGCTATAAGAAGGGGAACCTGTATCCATGCAAGGCTGCTAGGTCACAGAAAATAACTTCAGAATTTAGTGTGGGCACATTCCTTTGACACATCCCTTTAACACAAAGAGGCATGTGATCACATGTCATGTTTTTTAAGCAAGGCAGTTGTGCAAGTATCAGAAGAAAGAGTAAAAGAAGTCATAGAAAGGAGAGAGAAAAGAGGGGAAAATTAAAAAAACATTTACAAGAAGACACGTAGATATACAAACCCTAAAATATCTCTCTCTCTCTCTCTCTCTCTCTCTCTCTCTCTCTCTCTCTCTCTGTCTCCTCTCTCTCTCTCAAAATCGGGGCATTTCCAATGATGTTCTTGAAGTGCTATTTCCATCTTGTGGTCATTTAGGAAATTACTCCTGGACACAAAGTTCTGCTGGGTTTTAGAGGCCCCAGATTTACAGTGGCGTTCACCCACTGATCAAATGTGGTCAAATCGGAGGTTCCCATTCTGGTCATATTGTAGCCTACCCTCTTTCATTTCAGAACACACTAATGGAACACAGAAGCCTATGTGTGTAGAACTGTGGCAAACACAAAATGTAATGTAATTCAGGTTAAAGGAAATTCAGGTTTAAGGAGCCACTACTAGAAACATTTCTTCTGTCCTTAAAGTGTTGATTCTGAAGAAGCAGGCTTGTCTTATCAGGGCAATGGTAAAGCAGACTGACTTCACTGCTCTGTCTTTCCCATGGGTGAAGAGCCCACTGTCTTAACCTTCTCTTGGATAAGGAGGAAGCTCCTTCTCCCCACCTGTTAGACACCACTCTTTCCATCCCACCCACCTCCTTCAATTCCTGATGGCATCCATTTTAGATGCTTAAGGTTTGGTATCCTGGGAAGATAATCAGAACACGCAGTCCACAAGCATCCATTTCCCAGGATGCTTCACAGTTCCCAAATTTTATGACATCCTTTTTGGTATGAATACCACTTTCAGAGACCAAGAATCCAAGACTATAGAAAGACAATAAGAGTTAGGAAATGGACCTTAAACTATGATTTTTATGACAGAGGAAGACATGACACCTTCACTCCTACAATACACCGTGTAGTATGGTAGCAGTAAGTGTGAGGGAAATTTTTCTTCAGTGTGCTACTTTTACTTTCAGGGTGGAGACCTGCATATGGAATTTACAACATGTGGTTATCTCTTTTTGGAGCAATTTTGTGCTGTGCAGTTATGTTTGTCATCAACTGGTGGGCAGCTGTTATCACCTACGTCATAGAGCTTTTCCTCTATATCTACGTGACTTACAAGAAGCCAGGTAAGAGAAGGATCGCCTAGGATGAATTTCCATGTCTCTGTCAGTCCATCAGGCATTTATCAAGTGGCTTCTTTGTACTTACACGTATGCTGTGTGAGGCAATTTGTCATAGTACAATATAATACAAGAATAATAACAGCTAACCCTGTGGAGCAGGGAGCACTACGTGGGATATATTCATTTAATCTTCACAGTAATGTTGCACATTAGATGTTATGAGTCTCATTTTACAGATGGAGAAACTGGAGCTCAAAGAGTTGGCCATTTGCCAAACTAACAGTCAAGGTGTGTTAGAGCTGACATTTAAACCACAGGCATGAGGGACCAAACCACAAGCTTCCCATTGTATGACCTTATACTTTTAATGTCCCCAATGAGATAAGGCTCCTATCTCAAGGAGCTCTCAGAGTCACCACTAAGCAATCAGCTACAATGCAAAGTAGTGTCACAAGTGCAGTGTAAACAGATTGCTGAGAAAAGGGGGAGGTTTGAGTAACCTTGGATATGTACAAATTTTTCTTGATTCATAGGTTGTGTTCTCAGGGCCACGTACTCTGCATGAATTTAATAAATATTTGTTGAGTAACATCAAGCCACATGGAGATGTTAACACCAGAGTCGGGGAATGAGATTCTAGGTAGAGGAGAACTGGGATGAGCTGAGCAAAGGTGTGGAACATTTGGAAAGCCTCAAGGTCTTAGCACATATAGTGTTCTTGAGTACTAAGGAAAAGGGGTGTGAGGTGGCCTGGACAGGGAGGCTGGGGCCAAAAAATAAGGTAACTGTTGTGAGAAAGAATCCAGATATGGTGAACACAAGATCTCCTAAGTTATCCAGCTGGATAAACAAAGCTGGACCGGAACTTCAGAACCAAGGAGGAGGGTGACTATAGCCAGAAAAGTCTAAGGACTAGAATGCAACACCAAGAGGCCAGGGCCTCCGCTGCATGCCTTACTCTGCCAACCAGGTGGAGATGGGAGCAAATACTTTGGAAGGATTTGTTTTGATTTTATTGTCACTTTATATATTGTTAACATCTGGTACAATTGACGGGATGGTAAAATTTGACCTTTTATTGAGGTAGAGTTCATATGTTTTGATAACTTATAAAACCCTGTAACCACCACCACAATTAAGATGCAGGATTCCCCCAAGAGTTCCTTTATAGTCCTAAGAAGTTAGTCTGCCCCGTGGACCTCTTAGCAACTTACTCCGTTCCAAAGGCCAAAAATGTCGAAAATATTTGGGAGCTTTTATCTAATCCTTAAAAGATTTTAGTGTTACTTCTTCAGAAGGGGGAATGTTAGAGTAGCCAAAAGCCCCATTAAAAAAAAAGAAGAAGAAAGAGTACAAAGAAGAAAGGGTACATGAAGTTACCAGAAAAAAGTGATGGGGAGAGATGGGAGGAGTTGGAGGGGAGGGAGTGGGCATGGATTTGATCAAAATACCTTATATGCATGTATGAAATTCTCAATAAATTATTTTTTTTTAAAAAAAGAATGACTATTAGGTCAGCGAGATGGCTCAGTGAGTAAAATGCTTGCAGCACAAGTCTGTAAGCCTGATTTCAATTCCCGGAACCCACAGTGTAAGGAGAGAACCCATCCCCAACATTATCCTCTGATCCCCACACACATATGCTGTGGCTTGCACACACACACACACACACACACACACACACACACTAACAATGATAATATAAATAAAATTAAACTGAAATGAATGAATGCCCTAAGGTATGCTCAATGCCTGGTGCATAGTCAACACTAGCATCCACTTACTATTACCATTTAATCCTCAGGTGAAACAGTCACTTTCCTAACTCACCAGAGTAAGAATAGGGAGATTTATCTAAGGTGGATCTTCAAGTTCCTCTCTGAGACTTCCCATCAGAAAACTTCAAGAATCCATTTAATATTTAAATTTCTGGTTTTAAAGCAAAGAGTGGTAGTGCTGGTCTGCTGTACTATGAAGATGGGTTCTGAACGGTCAGACTAAAAAGCTTGCTAAGGAGCCTTGACTGTCTCTGTGAACATCTCCAAGAATTCCTGAGCTATTCAGTCCTATAGCTCAAAAACACAGATGACTGCTCACTGTCCATGTATACAGAAATCTTTTGGCTTTCAGTTTAAGAATTTGTGAAGGCCTTAAATTTATTCTGAAGTTGACTGCACCTACCTTTCTGCCTCCCTGACCATTGTCACGTGTGATGCTTTTCCTACTCAGCACAATGTCTGGAACTGCAGCTTTACAATGTGGCCTTGGCTGGAAAAAGTACCTCCAAAGGTTTGCAAAGGTGCCCACAAGAGTCTGAAATGCTCTTTCCAGGAAATACTGTGCTGTTTTTCCTCTAACTTGGGTGTGCTTGCATAGCCAAGAAAAATTGTAGGTGAGAATGGCTTATAAAAAAAATGATTCAAGGGGCTAGAGAGGGTTCAGTGGTTAAGAGCACTGGCTGCTCTTGCAGAGGACCCAAGTTCAATTCGTAGCACCCACATGGCAACTAACAACAGTCCGTAACTCCAGTTCCAGAGGATCCAACACCCTCTTCTGACCTCCACTGGCGTTGCACGACATGGGTGCACTTACACACATGCAGACGATATATGCATATACATAAAATAATAATAATAAAATTATTTTAATTATTCAAGGCATACAGAGAAATGGTCAATTTTTGTGCCAATTTTTTCCTTTGTCCACAGATGTGAACTGGGGCTCCTCTACACAGGCTCTTTCCTACGTGAGCGCTTTAGACAATGCTCTGGAATTAACCACAGTGGAAGACCATGTGAAAAATTTCAGGTAAAGTTGACTTTGCTGGCATCCTGGGTTTCCCCATCACAAGAGACTTTCCTTTAGAGACACTAGGGTAGCAACAAGCTTTATGGGCACATCTCGGCAGTGAGCGGCAAATGCCACCCTTCCCAGCACTTCCTGTATGTGAGAGCATCTTTCCTTCTGCTCTGAGTTCTGCTCATCCTCAGCCACACCCTTCACAGTGCCAGGCATCACTCTCCATGCAGGACAAGTGGCCTGAGAGACATGATTCCTGAGAGATCTCCCAGGTCCTCGTGCATCTTGACCATTGGTTTTTGTCTCTGTTCAGCCTGAAGCATCACTACACACTGAATTCCCTTATACAGGTTATAATTGCAGCTCTTCATCTGTTATGTCTTACTTTGGATAGTGCATCACAACATAGGCGTGCAGGGAGGATGAAGGAAAGCAGTGAAAATATGGATGGGAGGGGTGTAGGTTGTGTGGGGATTTGGAATGAAGTACTGCCCATGAGGGAAAAGCAATGGAAACCCAAGACTGCCCTTTCCCTTCTTCATACTTTTGCTGTGCCAAACTAAATGAAAAATACCAAGATGACAAACTAGACAGTCATGGTAATTCAAGAATTCTTGTGAGAAACCCAAGACATAATTAGGGAAGAGTTGGCCCCACTTTCCTGAGTTCTATTCCTGTTGTTTCCATTGGGGGGATCTGGGTTCACACTGGCCAATTCTCCTATCTTCTTTGCTTTCAGACCCCAGTGCATTGTCTTAACAGGGGGACCCATGACAAGACCTGCTCTATTGGATATAACTCATGCCTTTACCAAGAACAGTGGCCTTTGCATCTGCTGTGAAGTCTTTGTGGTAAGTGCCACTTCATCTAAAGAAAGTGCTTTCTCCTCTCTGCTCGCCTTGGGTTATTTTAGGTGAGCAGAGAAGGTACCTGAAGTAATAAGAAAGCAGCAAAACAGCTGAGCCAAGAGCCTCTTCCTTGATTCACACAGCTAGAAGCAGCAAAGTCCGTGATCTTGAATTCAAATGCACGAAATATAATTCTGATGTCATAGGGTACCAACTAAAAGTGACAAACATTTTAAAATGATGGCCTTGGAGTCAAGAAAAACTGAGTTGACTCAAATAAAATGAAGGCATTTTTGATGATAACTGTCCACAGAAATGTAAAAGAATGGAATGGGCCAGACAGAGCACCATGGTACAGATTAATTGATAGAAGGGAAGCAAGCAAATGGCCTTAAATGACAACACACGGAACTTAAACCAAATATTTGGAAAATTCTGATGACTCTACAGAGATATCTGGGGAATTAAGCTAAGTTTTCCATGCCTTAAAGTCAGAGCCAAAAGAATTCCTTTGTTCAAGGAGGAGGTGGCAGACTAATAACTTACTGGTGATTTTCCTAGGAGTATTCAAAGCAGGTGCTAAAAATTCAGCCGTTTACTAATTCCCCAAATGAGAGAAAGCTTTAAAATTATAATTTTTAAAAAGCCTCTTTCTTCCTAACTGGCTAATGTCTGCATGCATTCTCCTCTCTCTGTATCTCTGTCTCTCTCTGACTCTCTGTCTCTCTGTGTCTGTCTCTCTCTCACACACAGTTTAAATCTTTATCAATATACTTTGTCTTACTGAAGTACTTACCTATTCTCCAAAGCACTTTTCCTACAGTTTTTCTTATTTGATACACAAGAGCCTAAGAGTCTTGGGAGAAAACAAAGAAATTTTGTTACCATTTTACTGATTGGGAAAATGAAAACAGGAAAACGAAATATTGCACTGGGCCATCTGACAAGAAAGTGGCACTTGGGATGTCACCTGCTGTGGCCCTTGTTAGACTTTGAGGAGGAAGCCTAGGCAGCCTGATCTCTGGGAGAACTGTCACAACCAGCCACTATTATTTAGTCTCCAGTACCTGCCTTGAAATGGGTATCAGGAAATTATGACCCAAGACCAATCAGCTCTGCAGTAACGCAGGGTACTATGTATCATCCTGAGAAATATTTAAACATCTTTTTACACTTGGCAATATTCTAACTGCTATATGAAGAAAGTTGGTCATATTCTGTTTCCTTCATGTACTTATATGACAGTAACTCCAACAATATAACTAAACACAATTATCCCGTAGGAGTGGCAGAGAGAGTCTTATTGAATACAGAAGATTGACAGTTAAGTAATGGCCAACGGTGACTCCAGAGGATTTTTTAAAAACTTATCAAGAGCCCTTCTCTCTTATTATCAGCTTTAGTGCCCTGGATTAGTGGATTTCATTTTGGCCAATATAATATAGGAGCTGGTTTTGATGGAATAAGCAGTTTGGGGTGTTTTTCTTCTCCAGCAATTTAGAGAAAATTTGGTTTAGCAGGCAATGAAATATCTTTAGGACTGCAGAAATGAACAAGGCATATAAACAGTCATATATTGGCAGGGGAGAAAAGGTCTTCCATAGAGACAAGAAATGTTGCTTTTAATTAACCCTTTGCTGCTTTAACCACAATGAAGGAATGTGGTACTGGAAGACCCTTCATTTGAAGCCTCAGTCTGTGATCCTGGTTGTTTCACACAAAAATTGACAACCGTGTGTTACCGTGTGGGTGTCTCCCTGAAGGACCCAGGAGTCTTGCTCCCAGTTGCTGCAGCTCTCTTGGGAACAGAAACCAGCTGCTGCATCAATTAAAGACTTTCCAGTTAGTTACTTCCTGTGAACTCTTGAGGTTGCAGATGCTGGGCATTTTTAGACTCCAGGCTCAGTTGTCAATCATTTTTCCAAGGAAAGAGTGCGGGAGGCAGGACACCACTGGAAATTTGATGGTTAGGTCACCCTCGTGGAAACGTTAAGCACTGATGATGAAGAAAGCGACATTTGTTTTTAACTCTAGGAAGCTGGTACTCCTGGGCTTGTGAGGCTAACAGTCAAGTTCTGAATCATTATTTTGCCGCCTCTTAGCTTTGAGTTCCTTAGACAAATAGTTTAGTCTCTGAATAAAAGTATCATCTATATTTCAGGGTTACTGTGAGAATTATATAAGATGAACTTTGGAGTCTGTCAAATAGTAAATGCTCAATTAATTTGTTATTATTGATGATGCTATTGTGATGGTGGTGGTGGTGGTGGTGGTGGCGGTGGCAGTGATTGGAATACTGTGGTTGCTATTTTCATTCCTGAAATGTATGGCCCTTCCCAAAACCTGGAGGATACTCAAGTTCACACTGTGGATTTTTATCCTTTGACATGTTGAGGAATTTGATCACAGATCAATTCTTTCCTTCCACCGTATGGGTCTCAGGATTGAACTCAGGTCCTCAGTCCTGGTGGAGGCACCTTTAACCGCTAAGCAATCTCACCAGCCCCATAGTCACTGATTCCTGCAACCAAATCATTTTTTTTTTTTTAATTCTGGAGGTTATGGCCTTTGAATCAGCTGAAAATCAGATTTCGCTAGGTCATAGCTATTCATCTAACTCACACCAACCACCAGAGCCCTGCTCCCCATCTCCTTGTCTTTTTTCCTATTCAGCCTTAAGATTTCAGATGAGGGATGCTATTCTCTTTTTGTCAGTGAGCCTCTGTCAGGATGCTAATAAAGCAATGACGTAACCAAACTCAGGAAGAATGAATGAGTACCAGGATGCATGGAGAAATGAATTATGGACCAAATCAGAGAAGGAGAAACTCACTTTCTCATCATTCCAACCACAGAAGCAATGAAACACCAAAGACACAAGACTCTGAACATTTCAAAGAAAAAAAGTCAGAAAGAACATTGGGCTGGGCTGAAATTTGCAAAATAATTCCTTTTCATCAAACTCATCTATTTGAAGTACACCTCAATTTCTTCTTCAGACTACATAGAAATCTTTATTTTCTTCTAAATCATTGTCCAAGTTATAATATATGCAATATTTTTCAAGTTTCTTTGTTTAAATTGGGAATTAATTTATGTGCTTGTGTTTTGGAATGCTGATTGAAGTTAATCTCTATAATACATTAATTGACTGGTAAAATCCATTTCATAATTAGGACACATTTGAAGGCTGACTAATTATATTCCAGGATGTCTCTCCCCTCTTTGTTAGTTTGCTTTACCCTCATTGCATTTGCATTGCAGTCTAGCCTCACATTAACAAGCATGCTGCAAGGACATTATAATCACTTTTAGCAAAAAGAGATTCTGCATGAAATATTTTTATGATTCTTAGTATGGCAAATTTAGTCATTAAAATAAATCTCTCTGTCACAATGAACGTTTAATCTAGACTCCTGTAATACTAATAGACGTGTTAGACTGTATTTCTTTAAATAAGCACCATTTCCCCCAGAGGCTCACAATCGTTGTATACAATTCAATATTCTGATGGTCTAACGTCTTTCTTTGCTTTGGGTTATTCTCCTAGCTGAAGGTTGTTGTCAACATTCAGTTTCTTCAATAAAATGCGCCTTCTTTCTTTTGTAGTAGGTGGAGCCTAGAACGTTGCATGAAAAGTGGGCCGTTCAAAATGCATTGGCATTCTGGTGACTGAGCCAAATTTCACTTGTAATACCATATCTTTCTTTGGTCCCGGTGTTTTGATTCAGCAACCACCCCTCCCCACCCCCCATGTTTCTGCCTGCCCTATCTTCCCTGAAATTTCTTGTTTCTTAACTTTAATATAAATCAAATTGTTTTTGAAAGATTAGCAGTTTCTAGAAAATATGCTAGAAAATAACTAGGTATAGAAAGAATTTGATCAATTTAAACAGTGTTAAAATGGAAGGCACCCCAAAGCGCTGTTGTGTCATAGAAATACATTATATGCTGCTTCTATAATTTAAATATTTTCTAGTGGCCAATTGAAAGAACAAAAAAGATACGTAAATCTTTTTTTTTTTTTTTTTTTTTTTTTTTTTTTTTTTGTCTTTTTGAGACAGGGTCTCCCTGTAGCCCCAGCTGGCCTGCAACTCACTTTGCAGACCAGGGTGGACTCGAACTCACAGAGATCCGCCTGCCTCTGCCTCCCGAGTGCTAGGATTACAGGCATGCACCACCATGCCCGGGTCTTAATAATTTCTTTTGTTTAACCCAAATATATACAGAATGCTGCTTCAGCATGTAATCCACATATATGCTAATGAGGTATTTTACAGAATTCTGTACTAAGGCTTGCAGGACATCTCTCTTTGAATTACCATATCTCATGCTGGTGGCAGCATGTGGTAATGATGCTTGTACTGGGCGGTGCTGACTGCACAGTTGTGCAAGCAGAATGAATATCAAGAGACAGCACAAGGCGTGCCAAGTTATCAGCAGTCAGCCCACAGCCAAATTTAGAGCCTGCGCCCTTCCTCCCAGCTCAGGGTCCTTTTCTACAGGAGAAATCTGGATCCCTTCTTGGGGTTCTTAGTCTCATTCGTAAAACGATCTAAGAATGGACTCAAATAGAAGCGTCTATTCCCTTGACCGGAAGGGGGTTTTCTTAATGGGCCTTTATTGCTACTAACACTTTGATCTGTTAAGAGCAAACACAGAGTAGAATTAGGCCTGGGGTTTTAGTGAGATTGTGAGCACTAATCTTAGATGATAGAAGTCAGCTTTACAAGAATACCTACTACTTTTCAAGATTGGTACTAGGCGCCTTAAACAACCACTCAGGAAAAGCAAGCTTAACCCCATGTCTAGAATAAGATTTCAAAGTTCAGAAATAATCAATGAGCTCCAAAGTGGCAAAACTTGGACTTTTTCTCTTGTATTCTGGTGCCCTAAGACCTTTAAGATGGTCACTCTAAATGGAGTCTAAGAGCCCAGTAGCATTTGTGGCATAGAAGCTTCTCTTAGCCCTACTTCACACTCTCTGACCACATTTTATCAAGATCTCAGGGGACTTATATGAAATCTAAGACATCTGAACAAAACGGAAATCTACCTATGGACTGGAGAAAGTAGTTGGATTGTCTTGTCTCCTGGAAAGTACACAGCAGATAATCAGAAATACCTTTTGAACTGAAGTGAAACATGAGAAGAAAAGAACTCTGATCTTTATGGAAGAAGAAACAAAAATAGAACTGTTCATTGAAAATTGGTTTCCAGAATTAAGCCTTAAAATTATAAAATGCTTTGCCTCCCACCACACCGGCCTCCTTTTCTCTTAGCTCTTTTCTTAGCCATAGATATGTGAACTTTTGCTCCCATCAAATTCTCCAAGTGAGGAGAAAATGTTATTTTACTCAAACAAAAATGTATTAATACTACACAGAGGAAAATGGTACAAGGGCCTTCTTAGCACAGGAGCAATGCATCCGCCTAATAGAATTGTCAGGATGTGCAGTTCATGATAAGATTTGCAGCTCGCCATGTTCTGGTTCCCAAGAGCTCTGTCCATTTCTTGAAACTGGGCTCTAGCTAAGATTTCCTTGAGGCTCATAAACATGGCTGTCAGTGTTGACTCAAAGGTTGAGTGCAAATTTATCCTGAACCTCTTCAATCATATTTGGAGTGTTTTCCTTGTGTGCCATCATGCCTTCAGCTTTCCATTCAGCACAAGACAGTTAATTAAGCGCTGTTAATAAGCCTGGGCATTTGGGGTGGAAAATGAATCATGCGAGTAGCACGGGTCCTCTCCCAAAGGAAGGATCTGAGCAAACACCATTTAGAGAGGTGTTTGTCCCTCTTTACCATTTTGTGGCTTGATAGGTATTACTGGCTTTAGAAAACAACAGCTGTGATGTACAATAGTAGGGCTCCTAACCAGTATTTCATTGTCTCCTGCAGGGACCGCGCAAGCTGTGTGTTAAGGAGATGAACAGTGGTATGGCTAAAAAGCAGGCCTGGCTTATCAAGAACAAAATCAAGGCTTTTTATGCTGCAGTGGCAGCAGACTGTTTCAGGGATGGTGTCCGAAGTCTCCTTCAGGTAAGGCAGGCATTGAGGAGGGAGCACAAAGGTAGAGGGTGACTAGCACTCCGTATGGATGAAGCTTCTAAAAGCAGGGCCTATAGTTCCACAACCCTGCCATGGCAGCATCAGAGAGCAAGGCAGATGGCCAGGGAATTCATTTTGAGTTCCTGGGGATAGGCAGAGCTAGAACAAAAGCAGCGCTTCTATTACAATGAACTCTGAAGGCTACACTGGAAACAGAAATTGTGGTTGCCTTTGGCCACCGGCATGCATTCTGTTCCCACACTTATTGAAATGTAAATCTGTTCTGGTGGCTGCAGACATTCAGGATCCTATCATAACTTCAAACTCTTTTTGGTCTCTGACTGCAGGTAGCAATGCTCAAATCAGGAATCCTTTTCCTTTTCTCTTTTGCAAATGATGGGAGGGCAGCAGCTTAATTCAACTAATAAATTCATGTGGATCAGGGCGGAAAATCTCCCTATCTTTCTGAATTATTTCCAGAACATTAAATAAAATGTAATCATCTCTATGACACTGAGGTCTACAGCTGTCAGTCCGTTCTCCCTTCATCTTTCTTTTTCCTTCCCTTCTCTACTTTTCTAGTAACTACAGAAAATCTTTCCTTACTTCCCACCTCTGTAATTTAAAGTAAGAAAAGGATCCTTTAAAAAATCTGAGACTCGGAAATGGAAAGGTGTGGCTTTCTAGAATCTTGGGTTTAATGTGGGTGAAAAGCCGGGGTTCCGTGTACACCAAATGAAGCATTTGACTTTCAGAGCTGCTGTTAGAATTCGGGACTGTTTCCAGGTAACTCTGACACTTGTGTGGGCAGTAAAAACATACTGGTTAAGCTGCAATGTAGAGATTGGTACATCCATGACTCCAGTGTGCCTGGGGAACATTTGCAACGCAGGTGCAGAGAAGCCATGTCTGAGAGAACCCTTATCCACCATAAGTTTCTTTTTATCTGTTTTTAAATTACTAACCTGTCAAAATAAGTATTACTGCAAAATGCTGATTTTTCCTTTAGCATTGCAATATCTATAAGTAACTCTTGGTTGAATATCTTGGGAAAAATTACATATTTAATAAAAAAATTACACATATAAAACATAATTTGAAATGAGAATGGGAATATAACAAAAAATCAAAACAACCCTGGAGACAAAATACTGAGATGTGGATGAAAATGATTGTATTAGTCCTTCCCAAAAGCTTTAAAAATGTTTAAGCAGGGATGGGGGTTGGGGACTAGAGGCGAGGTGAGGATGAGGGAAATGGTAAACCAAAACTGAGGTTGTATTTGAAAACTCTGTACGGAAACCTACTATTTGGTAAATCTATTAAGAAACTTTTTTTTTTTTTTAAGTTTGATGAACATAGGCACCCTGTGTGGGTGGATAGTACTCCTTCAGAAGTCAAAGGTTAGTAAACAAATGTCTCGGTGCCAGTGTGGGAAACCTCAGAGGTCACCACACCACACACCATAGGCTACATCACTGAAGTTCTAATCAGTCAGTCAGCCTTTGCAATCACAGCATCTTTCCAGATATTCTAGTTCACAGGTCTTACCCAGCTGTGGGCCTCACAAACTACAATAACAACCTGCCTGGCAAGATGTGCCCACTGGTGCAGTAGTGGCATGACTGTTATGGGGGTAACTAACCATTTCCTGATTGGATTTGAGGCCCATTTCATGGAAAGGAATTCATGCCTGGTCCTGTAAACTTGGTCAAGAGCCTGGGGCCTGGGATCTCATGGTCCTAGGGAAGCGTTTACTCTTGTTTTGCTAAATGGACATGGTGTCAATACCCATAGATTAGTGCTGCTCTCGGCCTTCATCTGGGGAGCTTCTTTCCACAGTAGATGGCAGCTAACACAGACTCACAACTGTCTCAAGTATGGAGAATAAGTGACTGTGAAGTGCTGGACCCTTCATGGGTCATCTATATCACCCCTCTCCAAGGCTCAGGGACATCACAGAAGAGGGGAAGAAAGAATAAAAGAGCAAGAGTTCAGGAGGAGTGCTACAAACTGTCTTCTGGACACGATATAGGCATTGCACCCATGAACTCCCTGCAACTTCAGTTACCTGCCCAAGACGTGCACAAAATTGTACTTGTCACCACATCGTCATTCATGAGGGAGGGGCTCATGGGGCCTCATCCCTCACTGAAGGAGTGTGGGCAGTTAGTGGTGATGGGGTACAGGGCTCATTTTCTTCAGTGATGTAGCCTCTGACAAGTTGCCATGCTGCAGTAAATCATCCCCTCAGTCATGCTCATGCAGGCAACCACAATTAAACTCAATGTGTCGATAGGCTGGAGAGATGGCTCAGCAATTAAGAGTGCTGGCTGCTCTCGCAGAGGACCCAGGTTTCATTCCCAGCATCCACATGGCGGCTAACAGCCATCCACAACTCCAGTTCCAGGGGATCTAATGACCTCTTCTGACCTCACTGGATATGGCATGACACGGGTGTACTTACATACTTACATACAGGCAGGCAATACACTCATACATATTAAATAAAAATAATAAATAATTTTAAAAAAGAAATGTTCACTTAAAAAAAGGAAGAAAGAAAATGGACACCAAAATAGGAGATGGCTTTTGGGGAAGAAGAGTTTCAGTTGGGGAGTGGGGGAATGAGAGGAGGTAATAGGGGATAAAAATGCCCAAAACTCAATATATACATGTATGAAATTTTCAGAAAAAATTGTAAGTAAATTACTCATGAAAAAATTTAAATATACAAATAAATGTGGAAAAAATGAACTTGCAAATTTCCATGAATTTCTAAAGTATGGTGGCACACGCCTTTAATCCCAGCACTCGGGAGGCAGAGACAGGCAGATCTCTATGAGTTCAAGGCCAGTCTGGTCTACATAGTGAGTTCTAGGACAGCTGGGGCTACAGGGAGACCCTGTCTCCAAAGGAGCAAAAAAAAAAAAAAAAAGGAACAACAAGGGGGCAATAAAAAGCTACACATTACCAGCGGGGGCTACAGGGAGACCCTGTCTCCAAAGGGAGCAAAAAAAAAAAAAAAGTGCAGCACAGAGTGGTAATAAAAGTCTACCAATTATATCATTATGGATAAGCCTTCCTTTAAGAAGTTATAGAGTACAAATGGCTATATCCCCAGGTGAAGGGAGGCTAAATCCATAATGACGCATACTTGCCAAGTGCCAAATGACGGCTCTAAAGGAGCTGTTAGGTCATGTGTGCGTGTCTAAGAAATATGCATCAAATATGTGGAAGGCGAAGCTCATTTAGGAATTCCTGATTTGTGCGTCTGTCCTTCCACTTGTGAGTGTCTCCTCTAAAATGTCTAGCTCTAGTCATTTCTTTTGTATCCTCGTGACCCTAGGGACCTTCCTTCACTCTTGGCTTTCCTTACCTTTGCTTGTCAGTATCTAACTAAACTTCAAGATTCAGAATAAATGCCACCCTCTGTGATGCTGTGCACCATCGGCTGGGCCTTCTGGGCATCCCTCTACGTGTGTACTTAGATTGCAGTCATCTTTGTGCATTTTGGCCCCTCCACCTCATTCTCAGCTCCTTGCTGCCAGTGCCTCAGATACCACTTTGCAATTAATAGGAACTTGATAATATTTCCACGTTAAATTTGATTAACTGGAAGCCATATCCTGTCATCTAACTTCTGATATGGAATATAACTCTTAATGATACTTCATACAAGAGGATTCAGTTTGGGAAACACAGTTCAACCATTTTTCAATAAATAAGAGAAATGCCAATGTTCCTTATGTACAGGGATCTCCAAACATGGATTTCATTGCTGATGACATTTTGGACATAGCAAGTGGAAATGATCCCTTGAACCACAAAGTTATAACATGCATACCAACAGTTAAGCCAACCTGTACTTGATTTTAAATTATTGAACCATTTTAATGAGCATGTCAGAAGAAATGCAAATGACTGCTAATTTAGCAAAGCTACATTTCTGTCATCTAAAATCCATTATGGCTGAGATGATTTAGAACTAATCTTTCCATTTTATGCTTGGGTGCGGGCATGAAGGCCATGCACTAAAGTGTAATCTAATCTTCAGAACCTTCAGAACATTGCTTCAGTGCTCTTCTGGATGCCATTTTTCATTTGCAGTAGTATTTCATGGCATGATAAGGATTGCCCATGTGTTTGTGTCCTCTGTTTAGGCCTCAGGCTTGGGAAGAATGAAGCCAAACACTATAGTGGTTGGATATAAAAAAAACTGGAGGAAAGCTCCCTTGACAGAGATTGAGAACTACGTGGGAATAATACAGTAAGTGATGGCTTTAGGGATGAGTTTTTGTCTATAATGCACTAACCAGAGCAGAATAGAACCCGTGTACACAAAACACCAAGGGGCTAGATTCAGTTGCCTGAGAAGACACATCCTCCTGGTCATCCAAACTCCTTACCAAATAAAGAAAACACCACAAATGAGAATTAGAAGGACTTAAATTATCAGAGGAGGCAGGTGGGGTACAATATCAGAGTCAAAGAAAATGATAAGTGTCTAGAGTTATAACTTTAAGAAGATTTATGGATAAGATTAAAAGCAACTGGGTGTGGTGGCACAAGCCTTTCTTTGATCTCAACACTCCAGAGAAAGAGGCAAGTGGATCTCTGTGAGATGGAGGCTAGCCTGGTCTACATAGTGAGACTGTCTCAAAACAAGCAGCAAACAAACACAAACACACAAAATTAAAAGCAAGGGACAGCTAGATTTTTTAAAACAGCTTTTTGTTGTTCAAAACATTTGGAATCAGGAGTTAGCTATTATGCCAACAAAGGGTTGGAGAACAGAAAACAAGCGAATGTAAGAACTGCAAATTTTCATAGCCCAGTATTAGATGCAGAATTAACTTGTGATCATCTTCCAGCCTCCCCAGCATCCCAAACGTTCTAGAAATTCAATGGATCAAAATAATTGAGCCCTGTTATATTGAGCCAAGGAGTAGCAGGTCTTCTTGGTAGCAAAGTTCAAGGCTAATTAAGGTGGCTCAGATTTATACTAGCATAGCTGGCTTGGCAAAGTTAAATGACTTTAGCACCACCAAAGAGGTTAACAGAGAAGGAAGCCAACCACACAACTGTGGTGCATTTTCCTTTCTGATTTTTGTTGCCTAAACTAAAACTCACTCTTATTGTCAACACTGGGCTATTATTATGACATTACAGTATCTTTTTAAAAAAATTATTTTATGAAAAAAAATTATTTTATGTATATATCACTTGCATGTATGTAAGTGCACCCATGTTGTGCAATGCCCGTGGAAGTCAGGAGGGGACCTCAGATCCTCTGGAACTGGAGTTATGGATTGTTGCTAGCCACCTTGTGGGTGCTAGAAACCAAACCTGGCTCCTTTGTAAGAGCAGCCAGTGCTCTTAACCACTGAGCCATCTCTTCACCCTTGGCACTACAGTACCTTATTCCTTTAAATAACAGAGTTTAAATGCCTGTACCATTCTTATGTATGGTTGATTTTAATTACAATCTGTTTTATTTTCCATGGCTGACCTAACAAATTGTCTCAACTTTAATATTTAAAACAAAGGCTTATACTCTTACAGCTTAGTGAGTTAGAAGTCTGCATTCCCAGCAGGAAGTTCTAGGGCAAATTCCTTATCTTGCCTTCCCAGCCCCTGGAAGCTGCCAATGTGTGGGTGCTGCTGATGGTCCTCTTTCTCCATCTTCAAGTGAGCAACAGCCACATTACGCTGATGTGTTTTGCCTCTCAACTTCATTTTCAAGTATCCTTGTCACTATTATCTCACTGAGGAAGGTATTCCAGGACACTTTCCCTACCCAAAGCCTTTGACCTCGTCACCTACGCAAAATCCTTTGTCACATAAGGAAATGCACTCACAGGTTTAGGGGTTAAGACATCCTTCAGAATCCTTTATCCTGCCTGTCAAGAAAGCAATATCGTTTTCCTGAAATACATTGTCTATTTTTCATAATCAAGGTCAGATAGAAACAAGATTTTTTTATGTGGAATTTAATTTGTAGCAAATTGTGTTATAACATTCTCTGAAAGTTCAGGTCGACTTCAGCTATTGGGAATTTATTTGCTTATGGTGAGATAATCACAGAACGCGCTGTTGCCAAGGGAGGATGGTCTAATCTGTAGGGAGTTCCCAGTTTCAGTTCCTTAAAAGAATGAAGGAGGGCATTCCCAGAGGGAAAATTTGAGACAACACAAATAAATAATTGATTTGTTTCAGATTTACAGCATTTATAGCATATACCGCCAGAGCTGCGATAAGCCAAAGAGCTTTTCCTTCTCCACATAGTCTAATTTCACTGAGTAGGATATAGAGAAGGCACCAGAGCCGCCTTCAGTGGCACGGGATTTCCAGGGGGAAAAAACCAACCAAACAAAAAAAATGGACTGCTCCAAAGGGCCTGTCCAGAGTCAATAACAAAAGTTCCTTTCTGGAAATGGAGACATTTTAAACCATGAACTTGGTGTCAGAAATGTTGGAGGTTTCCTTATTGTGGCAGGGAGGGAAGGGGGCTAATAATTTCAAAAGATTTTGCAATCTATAAATGTTCTATTCTAGACATATCAAGTTGCTTGGCTCACTAAATAAAACTGAATTATTTTTAAAATGTAGCAAGCTCCTAATCAAAAATCTAGTTGATGGTATTATTTTTGAAAATTTCCTTCAGTGTAAATGATTTAGTTACCTTTACCCAAAATGTACTTTTTTTAAGGCATAAAGGAAGAATAAACAAATCCCCCCAAATAATAATAATCAGGTCGTGGCGATATTCTAAAGTGAATTTTAATAGCTTCATGACATTAAAACCTTAGAAACAAGTTTAATTTTCCATCCAAAGTGAGAGAAAACACTAGAAACACTCACAATGTCACTTCCTCTTTCAGTGATGCATTTGATTTTGAGATTGGCGTGGTCATAGTCAGAATCAGCCAAGGGTTTGACATCTCTCAAGTTCTTCAGGTACAAGGTATGTACTTTTTTAGTCACTCAACAAATAGCGAGAACCTGCGAAGCACCCAACATTGTTCTCCTGGGCGGTAGGGTCAGAACAGTGCTCAATATAGACAAAATTCACCCACAGTGGAGCTTGATTTCTGCCCTGGCCTCTGACATGCAACATCTCCTGTGCTTTCCTCATTGTTAATACAAGTGGCCTTTGTCCTGTTAATCAGAGATGTAGAATAAATAACTCAGGGTAGTCAGCAATTTTCCTCCTCATAAGACCACAAAGTCAGCATCAAAGACAATGAACACATTCAGCCAAGTTAATTTCTTCAAGATGTTTCATAAATGAAATTAATTTTTTTCTCAGACAAACATGTATTGTATTTGTTTGTTTGGTTGGTTGGTTTTTTTTTTTTTTTTTTTTGGGTCTTTTTGAGACAGGGTCTCCCTGTAGCCCCAGCTGACCTGGAACTCGCTATGTAGATCAGGCTGGTCTCGAACTCAGAGATCCGCCTGCCTCTGCCTCCCAAGTGCTGGGATTAAAGGCATGTGCCACCATGCCCAGCTATGTATTGTGCTTTTAAGAGCCCATGAACCAGTTTGAAGCAGACGTGGAAAGGAGCCTGAATGTCACTAATTTACACTTGAAGTCATTAATTTAAGGCACAGGTAGAAATGCTCATCCTGATCAGTGACTCTGCTTCTTCCATAGATGATTGATAGATGATAGATAGATAGATAGATAGATAGATAGATAGATAGATAGATAGACAGATAGATAGATATGGTAGAAATATATGTTATATATGAAATACAGCCTTTTGTTTGTTATATGAAATACAGCATTTGGGAGGAGCTGCTGAGAAACTGACAGAGGACATGAATCCATCCTTCAGCTGAACTTCTTAATGGAGTCTTCTAAAGGCACTAAGACAAGGAGATATTTTGGGGTGCTTATTATACAGCACAAAGAATATAGGTGAAGACACTGGGTAGAATAAAATTAGTAAGCTTGGGGGCTGGAGAGATGTCTCAGTGATTAGGAACACTGGCTGCTTTTGCAGAAGGGTTCAGTTCCTAACACCTGCATGGTGGTTAACAACTTTGTATAACTCCAGGGGATCCAATGCACTCTCTGGCCTCCATGGGCACTGCACACATATGGCGCACTTACATACATGCACGTATCTCATCTTCAAGGGGATAAGAGATAGTTTATTCTGGAGCCAAATATGAGTGACCATGGCCTGGGAAAACAGATTCAGGTTACCCTAAATTCCATGTTCCAATGTGGAAGCAATTTCGTGAAGTTTTTATAGCGATAGAATAAAGAAAAGTCATAAATTAAGACTCTTTACAAATACATTGGTGGAAACACTAAGTGGCGGATATAGCAAAAGAGAAATCTGTTATAGGCTTAGATGTTATCTGATGGTGTTCTTAGCCTTTTGGTTGGTGGAAGCTAGGACTTTGTTAATACATTCCTAATAGTGGCACTACCACAGGAGATAGGAAATGCAAGAAAAGGTTTAAATGAGATGTCTGACTCAACTTCAGACAATCTCTGGTGGGAAATCCCACTGAGAGTATTCAACAGGCAGTTATAGTCCTAATCTTTTTTGGTTTGGGTTTTGGTTTTGAGGCATAGTCTCACTATGTAGCCCTGGATATCCTGGAATTTGCTATGTAGAACAGGCTGGCCTCAAACTCACAGAGATCCGCCTGCCTCTGCCTCCAGGAGTGCTGAGTTTAAAGGTCTTTGCCACCAAACCAAAATGGTCCTAATCTTAAAGGAGAAATCTCCATCTGAGATCCAGATTTAGAAGCTGTTGGCTAAATTGAGCCCCACCATCACCAAATTCATATGCTAAATTAGTACCTCAGGATGGAAGGGCGCTAGAGTTAATCTTTAAAGATCAAGGTAAAATAGGATCATTTGGTAGGTTGCAATTCAATGTTTTCTAGTGCCTTAGAAAAAGAGATTACAACACACCTAGGTGTTACCACAGGAGAAGAAAGTCAAGGAAAGTGGCCTGACACCTTAATACTGGAATTCTAACTTCCAGAACTTTGAGAAAACAAATTTCTATTGTTTAAATCACTCAGTGTGTGATTTTTTTTATGGCAGCCCTAGCATGGGGCAAATATGAGTAAGGTGGAAATTGCAGCCATGACACTGCAAATAGAGCCCAAGAAGCATGCGTCATTAAGGTCTCCAAGACACAGGAGAGGGCCCCAGAAGGGGGCAAAGAAGGAGTGGGAGCCGTGGGAACCAGTGCTCAGAACAGGAGAATAATCAACATTGTCCAGGACAGTAGACAAGCCCAGAGAGAATGCATAAAATATCATTGACAAGACACATATAATCACGGTGAAAACTATTTCTCTAGAATTACATTGTTGGAATCCAGACTGCAGTGGGTCAAGGGGGAGACTTTGAGATGACAATGTGGAGAATGCGGTAAAGGCCAACCATCTTGAGAAAGTGGGATGGTAGAAACAGAATGAGGCTAAGGTGTTTTATTACGGGAGACGGGAGATTCACAGACTGTAAATGGGAGACCTGGGCACGGTTCCATACCACAAGAGAGTGGGAGAGTTAGAAGACATAAGGAAAGACAGGCATTCTGCAGACAGAGACCCAGGGGCAACAGGAAATTGAGAGAAAAAGTGGGTGAAGTGATCTGATATGAAAGAAAAGTGCTTCATCTAACCTTGGAAATGAAGCCTGATTGATGACATTTATAGATCTTTCAGAGTAAAGAAGTGAACTAAGGAAAGCTGTGCATGTCTACCATCTCATTCTCTTTGAAACTGGAGCAATGGTTTGTTTCTCAAAGCAAAAGAGGCATGGTTTCATTGGGCATAGCGCAAACTGGCACGAATCTTTTAAAGTTGTAATGCGGAGTGAAAAAGATCGGAAAAGTCAAACGGCTCGTGAACACACTATTATTTGAAAACCCAGCTGTGGTGTCTTGTATTTTCTAAAGCTGTGTTCAGTCTCCAAGGCACAGGAGCACCAGAGTATTGCTGATAGGGTCAACTGAAAGGAAAGCCTGGGGGGAACTTGTTGCCAGATCCAGACTCTGCTCTTTTCTGATTATTCTCCATCATAGGAGAAGGTAACATGAGAGGATATGTTTAATTGCCTGATGCAGCCACTCTAGGTTTTAGCCGAGGAAGAGGAAACTAGAGCTCAAGGATTCTTAGGAAGCAGAGCAACGACTGTATGTTTTCGCGTACTCGGTAATCACAAGAAGGTTTAAAACGAAAGCAAGGGTAGACTCTAACATCGAGGCCATCTTTTGGTGCCTTTGGTTTCATCTCAGACTCCTTCTCTCTTAGACGGACCTTGTATGTCTCTGAATCAGATATTCTAATTCCCACTGTGTTCGTAATTAGTTTCTCTCCCTTTTAGTAAGAGTTCGTATATTCGCAGCAGCAATGGCTAACAGTTCTGAGCACTTGGAGGCTAAATGTTAGGCTTAGCGTTCATATCTAACAATTACCCTACTGGCTGATAACTGAGACTTACCCAAGATTCTGAAAGCAAGTAATTGGTAGGGCTGGGAGCCAAACCTTTGCTCGAAGCAAGGAGTCTGCCTTTTAAAGAGGAAAGCTAGAAAAGGCCGTGGCTCACATAATAACTGGCCTTGGTGAAATCTGATCCAGGGGAGGAGGACAAAGCTGTTCCCAGGTGTCCTCAAAGCTTCCTACACAGGGGCTGCTTATCTGTGAGAAGACAGACCTGATTGTGAGGCAGTTACAAGCACCTAATATTAAGATGCTTGTTCTGCCCAGGCAGGGTGGCATACACCTGGCATGCAGCTGAAGGCTGAGGCCAGAGGATCATGGGTACTGCTGCTAACGTCTCAGCTGCACTTCAGTCTTCTCGTTTTTGTGCTGTAGTGTTTTCCATTGAAAAATCAGAATGGGAAATACAATTTGTATTTAGATTACACATTTGATTTACATATTATGTTGGTCTCGTCAAGCTAAAAGATGAGATAGAGCTGAAAAAATATTGCTCCTACACTTACTGCTCCAGCCACCAGCACACATCCTCAATCTATTCCTGTGAAGCAATACAGCAACAAGATTCTGTAGTGTTCCTCAAATAATCCTGGCGGTAAACTGCATCCCCTTTAAATTTCCCAAGAGACACATGCTACCTACATCAACTTTGATGTTTGACTGTTTCTGCTTCTTAGTTAAGAAAGGAAGGTCTATGGATGATTAAGGTGTTTTATATGAAATGCACAAAAATTTAATAAAAAATATACATTTAAGGGGAAAAAGAGAATAAAAAATAAAAAAGGGAAAATAAAGCTGAATGCTAATAAAATAATTACAAATACCAATTACCTAGGTAAATAGGAGTGCAATGTCACACAAATACATAAAGAACACATAGGAAAAACAACAGTGTTATGATAGAAATTAGCTTTATGCCACAGTTCCATGCATTATTTTGAAGCTTCTATAATTTATGACACAAGCCTCATATTTGGATTGGAAGGGATAAGCTTGCAGTTCATTATATTATACTGTAATATCAGGCTTAATAAGAGCCTGATAAATCTTAAGTATTACATTACAGTATGTTAATGATTATCATCATAGCTTTTCTAACACAGGCACCAAAGTGTCATCACAGATTATAATTTAAAGGAAATATTAGCAATTCAGAGCCCATATACTGTAGTTAATAAAGCAGGAAATGGAAACCAGCTTTATAGGTAATTTACCAGCTAATGACAATGGTTTCTACACTTCGTCACAGGCTTCTGTGAGAGTAACTTTTTAAATAAATAAGATCATTGCTTATAGCATTCTAACTCGTTCACTGCAGCAAGGCACCCAATACTGATGACTAATACTTTTTCTTAATAAATTAATTTATTGCCTGGCAACACACACAAAATGTGGCACTTCCTATCATTCCCATCCCTGGGGTATTTAGCAAGCTTACCAACTACAAGAAAGAATCCAAATTGTACTGGTGTGAAACACAGTAATAAAGCACAATTCGAAATGTGTTGCAGTCAAGCATTCGGTGTTAAGTACTGCACAATTTATGACCATCTCAGAGCATGTGATACTGCTGTATCTGATTGAGTGGCTCAGCAAAATAAAGACAGATTGCAGTGCAGTAAATAATAACTTGATTTGAAGGCAGGACTGCAAGACTGCTTCCTGACTTTAATCTAACTAGGCTTTACCTGGGGTTCAGCAATTGATTTGGATGAGCATTTATGGCTTTGAGCTGATTGGCCAAGGAAAGAGCCATATTTCAATAATTAATGAAGAAAAAAGATGATGTAAAATGCAAGAGGATGTAACTGCCCCTCATGCTTGCTTTCACTGCTCCCCACTCCTGCTGCCCTTAAAATTCAAAGCAGATGGTGATCTGTAGGCTCTGCCTAGCTTTAAAAGAGACCTTCAAAAATAAAAGGCGGACACTAGAACATTTGAGGCAACTTTGACAACTAAATTGAATTATAAGATACAATACAATTGGTTACTATGCAATCAATTTATAAAGCACTTATATACAGTGACCGATATCCAAAACAGTTTGAGGGTATGGTCTCACCCAAACTGTTTGGAGTATGTAGGAAAAAACTTATGAGAAACCTGTGCTCCACTGACAGCCTGAAAGTCCAAGCTTTTCCTTCCACCATCGTGACCTCAGAGATTCACTTAAAAACAGAAAAATAGGGGCTGGAGAGATGGCTTAGCGTTTAAGAGCACTGACTGCTCTTGCAGAGGACCTGGATTCAATTCCCAGCACCCACATGGCAGCTATGAACTGTCCTTAATTCCAGTTTCAGGGGAATCCGACGCCCTCTTCTGACCTCCAAGGCATTGCATGACATGGGTGCACTCACATACATGCAGGCAATACATCATACACATAAAATAAAAAATTAGAATTGGAAGCAGAAGACTTGAGCTACTATCTGTGTGACTTTGAACAATTCACTTGAAATTTCTATGCCCAAGTTTTCCTCTTAGAAAAATAAGACTACTGCCAGCTCAGCTTGTGCCCCAGCATCTGTATGAAAAGTCCATGTGGGAAGAGGGCTTTGTCATTCCTGAACATTAGAAGTGCAGTAGTAGCTGAGCACTGAACCACAGGCCTGGAATTCTAGCACTTGGGAGGTAGACCAGCCTCAGCTCATAGAGATTTCTTGGCCAGCTTGAGCTACATAAGACCCTGTCTCAAAAAATTTAAACAAAACAAGCCAACAAAAGGTACAGTGATGATGATGGTCTTGGTGGTGGCTGTAGCGGTAGAATGAGTCATCACCCTGGCACCCTGATGGGTGCTCCCTGGGATCACCTGCCCCTGCTTATGCCTAATGAAGGCTTTGCAACTCAACTGGCCAGTATTCCTGTTAAAAGAACTGTTCTGGCAAAGTCTACTCTTCTTTTCCCAGGCAAACATATATATGAAGTATGCCAAATACATAATTCAAAAGACCAGATCATCAGACATCACGTCTATTTAACACTGACGCTGGGGAGGAGTTGCACAGGAGGTCTGAGATCTCCCACAGACTGAATAATGGGGAACCATCTCTAACATGAACTTACAGCCCACTGTGCAAGGGGAATCACACCACCATGTAGATCTGAGGCCTGAGATGGCAGAGGAAGCTGACTTGAGCCTTCAGAACAGACATTGCCAGCCTGTCTCTGAAGCATTCCAGCAGACTCTGATTTGTCTCTTGGGCCTGGAGTTCCACACTTTGCTTGTCCTGGGTGGGCTATAGGCGAAGCTTGGAGCAAACTGTTGGAGTCACTTGGGATATACTCAGCCAGCTGACTCCATTACAAAAGAGAATGCATCCTTTTTCCTTCTCTGTCCAAATGGAGGACAAAGAGTGCAGCAATTAGCAGCTAATCACAGGGTGTGTTAGAGCCTGCCAAAGAAAGAACAGGGAAGAACTGGCAATTGCCGCCCCCCAAGAAATTCACAGATACACACTAGAGGAATGTAAAGAGACTGCTCAGCTAGAGGCTGAGTAACAACCAGGCTACCGCCACCCAGAGCAGTTGAAGTAAATGTCTGCTACCCAAGCCACTGCTTGGGGGTAGCCTCTGGTATGATCCAACTCTTTAGAGTCTCCTTAAAATGACACATTCGAGGGCCATCATCTGGGGGCCTGTAAGTGTTCTAGCTCATCTGACAAAGAGGCCAAGGTTAATAAAACAATTGTGAAGTAACCAGCCACAAGAAGATCTTCATGGTAGGAAGCATACAGACTAGCTCAAGCCAACCGCTTCGTGTCTGACTCCTGTAACTTTCTTGACAATAATCATTCAAGTTACTCAACTTTTGTGAGCTTCAGTTTCTTCATCTACAAAATGAGGACAATAATGGTAACCATCTCTGTGTTCTTTGGAAAGGAATAAGCACCCAAAGCATGCGCAATAAACAGTAGTTGTCAAAATACCTCCTGGCCTTCTCAAATGCTCAGTTTGCTTTGCATGGGTAGACCCATTTCCAGAAGGTACATAAAGAATATAGTCTGCCGGGTGTGGTGGCGCACGCCATTAATCCCAGCACTAGGGAGGCAGAGGCAAGCGGATCTCTGTGAGTTCAAGGCCAGCCTGGTCTACATAGTGAGTTCCAGGACAGCTGGGGCTACAGGGAGACCCTGTCTCAAAAAGA